AAGAAATTGATCAGATGGTCTATTTGTTAAATGATTGTTTCTAAATCTACTTGAAATTTTCCTATACTTGTCGATACTTTAAAGCAAATACTAGACGTCGCTTTTTATGTAATGTTACGCAACGTGCTTAAGTAATTCCCTCGGCACGCAGATGAGGAAACTTAAACTTAGAATAAATCTAAATTGATGAACAGTTTTTAAATATTTCAAAAAATATATGAAGTTTCTTTGATTTGTTACTGAATAATCTTGGTAACCCTATAACAAATAGAGAAGAGTAAGTCATTGTTTTAATTATTGTATTATTATAAATTTTTTTAGGGGTGCGTTCTGATGTTATTTCTTTTTATTATAATAATATTAATGTTAATGCACCTAAAATTGCAAGAACAAAATATAATATTTTAATAATATCCTTAGATGTACACATACATGTCAAATCTTAAGAAAAGGAACAAAATGTCTGTATCTACCATTCCTTTCATGACGTCTACTCCACGATGACGTCATTAGCGTCTAAAACCGCTATTTCGCCTTTCAGTGCCAATGCCATATGAACAAATAAATATTTCTTCTCTAGTATAGATAACGTTAAAGAATCTTACACCAAATTACTTCAAAAGCCAATAACAAGTACCTACATAAGTGCGTAATTCCTTAATTAATTAAAAAATTCCATTGTTTTTATTGATATAATATTTCCATTCGTATTAAGAGATCTACAAAATTCTAGGTTAATTCATATTATGCTCTATATACATATGCAATTATATCTAAATGCATTAATCTATTAGCGAGCAAATAAATATCCAAAGATAAATACGTAATATTTTTTATCTACACGTCTCTATAAAACAGTGCTAATGGCAGAGAATAATTAATATTCGGTGCTACGACAGTATTTAAAAAAAGAAATAATAAAAGTATAGTCTATAAAACACCTGAAATGCTACTTTCTTAAAAATATGTAATTGATACAGCGCTATAGATTTAATCGAACTAAACCTACTCCAAAAGATAATAAAGATTTTACTCTGACTCTGTAGCACGCTTGATTATAACGCCATTATCACAAAGTAAAATGGATTGGAGCAAAGAAAACAAAATGGAGATATTCAGATTTGTTAAAACTTGGGCCATACTAGATTATTCTAGATAGATTTAAAACTGCCACTATCATATCAGTAGCTCGCACTATTATTGTTAAAAAGAATGAATGACTTAAAATGGATATTAATATAGTGAATGCAATATATTAATCAATAAATATTATTTATTTAATTGTTAAACATTACACAAGCTGATGGTTTCGTTAACCTTCGACGACATAGAGGTTCTATTAACACTATCTAAAGGCATCACGAAAATAAACGAAATATTATTTATTTATTTTTATTTTGCTGTGGTCATGTGTGTCATGATAATTATCAATCCGAGTATTACTAAAAAGTAAAATCAACAAAACATACCTGTATTAGTATTGGTGTCTAAAAATGTACTATAGGAAGTACTCTATTTGTACTATAGAAAATAATACGCATTCTGATTTTGACTGTTAGATGGAAAATTATAATTTGGTTTGGACATCACTTTTTACTTGGTTGTTATTTTAACTTCAAAGTTTGATCAGATACAACCCAGAAATCAATTCAACAGATTTCCGGGTTGTCTATCAGCCAGTTGCGCAAACTTCCATTTAAATTGTTATTAGTTTAAAGCGACATTACCCAAACAAATTTCACATTCATTAGAGCTTAAAGTCAAATACGCTTTACTCTTTATGGTATTGTACTCTCTGCCTACCCTGCAAGTGATATGACAAGCCATTAATTAAAAAAAGAAGAAAAGGATATATATTTCAACCGTAATAAAGTTCACGAATAGGTCACAAAAATAATTCAGATTCGTAACGGAAGTCGCCCCTTCAGAGTTTCGTGCCTACCAAAAACGTCCATTAAATTTTTCATGAGTTTAAAGCAACATTACCCATACAAGTTTGACATTCATTAGAGGTTAGAGGCGTCATTAAACCTTAATGGACGTTTGTGCAACTGACCGTTAGATACGTAATATAGTATCTAGTACCTAGTGAGAGTTCTACACGAGAACTTGCAAGTGCTGTAAATGTACATTTACAAAGTGTTCTTAAAAACATTCAATTAGTTTAAGCGAGCTAAAATGATTATTAATCAATCCAAACCCAGCTTTAGTATATTAATATACTATATGCTATAATATAGATATGAATTTCTGGGTAACAAGCTATAAAATAAAAGGTGGCGCCGACGTCGTCTGCTGACCGTCACGAGTGGAGGCATGCGGTGTCGTTTACATAGGTATCACTCTTGACGCACCAGCTCGCGTACCATGACGAACTAGTGAGACTTTTTGTCTTCCAAATGCTTTTGAGTCGAGAGTGAAATATTGTTGCTGTGAGCAACATAATTTCCAGAAATATTTATAATATTAACTTATTGAGAAAAAAAAATTATTGATTGCCTTTCATATCATTGACTGTGACAGTCGCGAGCACTTCTACGTGCTCGTACTAAGTACATACATAAAATTGTCCCAAACTCATTATCATTTGTTCAGTCTAGACTGTTAAAAGCATTAGTGAATATAGAAAACTATACCATCGGTTCGCAAACAAACAGCATGAGGACTTGTACTGAGAAGAATGCGCAAGAAACTAAGCAAATCTATCACATGACTCGTTAAAGTTTGTTGCTCTATATCCGACTAAGTTTTAGTAATCATGTTACGAGTACCACTGCCCTTTTTTTGTTAAAGCAAGGAAATTTCTCTTCATGACTCAAATCAGGACAGTCCAACCACTAGGTCGGCACCGAGAGGCGGGTCAAAGTGTCGTTGGTCTGTCTGATAGAACTCTTTGTGGAGTACTTTCTTGTTGGGTACAGGATCCGGGATCCGGCATAGAGGGCTCCGATCCCTACCCCAAAGTGCAGCTCTCCTGACTTTACGTGTGAACAGGTGGAAAGATGTATTTTGGGTTTAGCAGGTTATGTTTTTCCATAAATTGTTTTACAAGGGTTTTGAAGACGTTGTTTACTTCAAGAGAACGTTGTAAACTGAAATACAGTTTCAGACAGCTGTCTGCTTTATTAAAATGGACTAATAAAAACAGATTTATTGAATAGGTACATTCCTAAATTTAATTCTGAATTAAAGGTTAGTAGATATGTCGTGAGCCAATCCTTGAATTGGGCTGATCTGCACGAGCATATTACGATATGCCGCCATTTCTTGATTTGGCCAGGAAAATCACTATCGGCCCGGTTAAAAGTTTGGCAGATCAACGATAACATAAGAGTAACTGACACTGAGCTATGAAAACATTATAATTAAGAAATATGTGGTTCTATGTACTCCAGATTATATTTAGGTTTATCGACCAATGTGCTATGATTCTATTTCAGCAAATACTTATTTATGCTTGTATATTTTTTTTTTGTAAAAAAATAACCGACTTCAACAGTTCAAGAAGTGAAAATAATAGTAGTGGTTTAATTATTCAATAAACTGCTATTGAAAATATTGACATGGGACCATAATAATAACAGAAATCCTCCGCTTGACTTCAATGGAAATTTCAAGACTAATTTAGAAGTTTTTAATAGAAGTATTTTTTTTAAATTGAAGTCTGTTCTATTTTAAGAGAAAGCAAACATTTTTTAGTTTAAACTTATATTATTATTGTATTTAAAAAAATATTTATACCTAAAGTAAGTCCTGTGGATTTCTTTTTTTACGATATAAAAATTATTTACAGTATATTTATAAAACATACCTACCATACCTGTCGTATATAGAATCTATTCCTTTTCAATTCTGAAGACTGTAAAAAAAAGTTTATAATTTGATTTTGAAAACTTACAGCTAACTTAACAGCTCTTAGCACAAAAAACCCTCGGGCTAAGTACCTAATAATATTAAGTACAAGTTTACCAAGTAAGTACTTTATTATGTGCGTTATCCCGTAACAGGTTAAATTGAACATACCTATAAATGAAAAAAACCATCTAGCTGAAAAAGTAAATCGGGTCCTTATATTACGATTGGTAAAACGTAAGTACTTATATTACAATTGCCGAAGGTTTTCGTTTCGGAGTGTAATGAAATAGTAACATGGTAGCTTTAATAATATGTAGCCTTGCTGTAATATTGGTTGATATCAAAACCCGGTTGACCCTCTATATAGAAAATGATTATGTTGTTATTACTATTCATGTAGTTCTATTTGAAGCCATTTTTATATTATATTACTAGCTTTTCGCCAGCGGCTTCTTCCACGTGATGATTCACGCTTAGAATTATCCTTATATCAAATTTTATCAACATCCGTTCAGTAGCTTTTGCGTGAAAGAGTAACAAACATACAAATATCCATCCTCAAAAACTTTCGCATTTATAATATTAGTGAGATAGGATATATTTCTAGTAAGTTGCAACTTGTACCTATTCACAATCTAATGGATTGCAACAGTTAAACATTCATTTGGAAAGACGCAAGCAGAAACCAGTTTCTTAAAATTCAGAAATCCTTACAAATTTATAACTTCATTTTTAAACATTCGCTTGGCATTTGATTAACATGTAATATTGAATTAATGATTAGCGAGCACCGCTTGATATTTATCTATCAATAACAAACAAACGTGAATTCAAACTTTAAGAGTAGGCGGCATGAGTGTACGAATGCTTCAAAATATAAACACCGGTCATCAGAGGCGGAAACGACCGATGAGATGCCAGTTCCGAAGACCTCGGCTACGAGATGCAACTTAAAATTCAACATAATGAACTATCAACTCATAATGTTCCACTTTGTGGTTCAAACAATAGTTTAATAAATATTTATATTGTCTGTAAAGAGAAATAAAATTGTACTTATGTAATTTAAGTAAAGTAGCTGATTTGTATTTTTTAAAGTTTAAATATCATGTTGAAAAATAGTCTGATTTAATAAAAATACTTACTTTTTTAGCATAAATGCTTTGCTGAGTTCTTTGAGTACGGTGGAAACGATAGCGCCAGCTGCCGGTACCGCTAAAACCGAGGCGTCCATGCATGCCGACAGTGCGGCTGGGGCCAATACACCCAGCCTGCTGAACCTCGAGCCGTCCTTCGACATCTCACGAAACAACCGAACGAAATTATAATATACGTATAGAATTATTTAAAGTATCGTACATAGTACGCACGACCACAACCGCAAGGCGATCCGCTTCGCGCGCTGATACCGACACGAATGCGCGCAACGTCCGCAGTTCGTACGACTCGACCCTGCGCCTGCGCCTCCTTGTTAGTAATTACGTGACAGGCTTAATGCATCGAGGGTTTAATCCCCAATGCAATCGGCTGATTTAAATGGTTCCTTCGACCGCAAACTTAATGATAATAAAGATAGTGATTTACTTTATTTTTAATTAAAGCCAATTGTTTAACTTATTTATTATTGTCCACATTCAAAAAGTTTTGGGTATTAATGTAATTATTTTCCAAATTTTAAGCGATATTAATAACGAAGAATTAATTTCACGAGAAGAACGTCTGTATTACTCAAAAACATTCAGATCAACTTTTATAAGCGGTTCTTTCGACACAATCCTAAACGTGCTTGCATATCTAACAGAACGAAACTATAAAACATATTTTTCTTTAAACTTTGCAAATAAAATATAAAAGGTGACAAAAAAATTCAGCGCGTATATGTGTGTGACGGTTGATATGTTTTTATACAATGAATTCTAAAATTCCTTTCTTTCGCCTCCATCGTCGCGATCCATTCTAATTGATTTGCGTAATACTGCTAATGGGTGTGTACAGTCAACACCACATCAGATTACACAAACCCGTCGAACTCCAGATATAAATATGTAGGGTCATTAACCTTGTGTTGAATATAAATGCATTTGTCGATTGAATCATTATATATTTTTATATTGTTTAGATATTGTTTAGTTATTGTTAATAAATAAAGAAATTAGTCAGATAACTGTTTATAATAGGAATAGGGCATTGTAGCAAACTAGATAAATAATTTATTTTACCATCCAGAAGTTTCATCATCAGTTAAAATTTTAAAAAAATCACGCTTAGATATTATTCGGTATTAGGTAACTGATTTTGTATGACACTACTTTGTTTGAAAGAGCGCTTCATATAATTTAATGTAGTGTAGAGATGCGGAGTTTTCTGAAAATTCACGTCTCGTTAGACACTAAAATAACATATTTGCATCAATAAAAAATCATATTAAAAAATGGAAAAATAATACTTAATAGTTCAAAAACTTCTCTATATGTAAATTTTACAAAAGGAACTGTACGGCATATAGAGAAGTTTTTGAACTATTAAGTATTATTTTCAGATATTATATTCTGATTTTACATTAAATTGTTAGAGGTTTAACTAAATACTTAATTTACTTACCTACTCTACATTTTTGTTAAGTTGACTGAGTATCTTACTTACGTATTAATAAATACTTTACATTTAAAGTCTATACATATGTATGTATAAATATATGTATATTTTATATCTATTTACGAAGGTTGTTAAATTTATCATCAACAAATATCTATGATGAGATAAATAAAAGAGATATCTCAATTATTTAAATATTTTGATCAAACCAGCTCTAGAAGGTCACGCTCTAAATTCGCTCACGAGGACACCATAAACATTTACTTCTTCTAATGACAATATTCATAATATATGCTTATAAAACGCAAAATAATAAATATGACATGATCATATTTATTTATTTACAAAGATGTCTAAGAGTAATTTATGCCTATCCTCGAAGGACAAAATCATGATACTTTCTTCCAAACTTACGAGGAAAAATAGAAACAAAAAGAGTAACAAAGCAACTTTATCTTTGTAGATCTCAAACGAAAAAAATTACCACCCGTCGAACATAGAGTCTTCCTTTTCAATATTAGAATTTATTAAAAACTGTGCCAGTTGTATTTTCTCATTGTAATAAAATATGAAAGGGAGGCATTCAACCAGAAAATATGTGTAGGTATATTCTGCAGTGAGTGAAAACTATGAGTACTACAAAATATACATGTTAGCGCAAAATTTTAAAAATTCCGTGAAAGTCTAAAGAAGGTAAAATGCATTTTCATACAATACTTGCTGCCCGTTCTGGCCCGTGCCCATGGTGTATATACTCGTACTAATGAATCCGTCAATACTTACCTAAATAGATTTATTGTTATATTAAGAATTTAAATGTCAGAAATACTTAATTCATGTAAAGTCATGTACTTTCATTTTGGCGTATTATTTTAATTTTTAAAGATATTTTCATGAATATGGAGCATTCTGTCCAGTTGTTTGTGTAGTTCTAAATAAACCTCCCAAAATAAAATAGTCTCTGAGTAGTTTCTTTTTTTAATTTATTTAAAACAACAGATTCACAAATTTTTAAGCAGTTATTTCTCAACGAAGCTTTGAAACTAAGGCTTTGCACGGATCACGTCTTGTCTTTTGTAAGGAAATGCGAGAGAAAGGTAAAATGTAAAACGATGAGATGCTTCTGGGAATATCCAGTATGGACAATCACTCATACTTTACGTTAGATACCATGGTGAATCCCACAAACCCAAAATGTAGGTGAAGAATTGAAGAATCATATAAAATTATTACTTTCCTTGTTACAATATCTTATTAATAAAATTATTATTAGTAGTTAGTAGAAGTACTAGCCACTAATAATAATTTGATACTCTTTTGAGCAAGAAAAGTTTTTTGCTCAAATAGTCTGCCATTTTAATGCATCAAATTAACTTAGAAAAGATTTTTTTCGTATCTGTGACATAGTGACTAACGGTTCCAAAGAAAAATGTGCACAAGTAGGTACAAAAGAAGTATGAAGACCCGACTTATTCATAAAAAAAAAAATTGTTTTTGAGTATAATTTAATTCTAATTGAAAGACAAAATGTTTTTTATGACTTCGCAAAAAAACAAATCGATCTGTATTAAATGAATTACAAATTGATTTAGATCACGTAATTTACATAAAAGTAGAATATCATCCTCTTTTGGGAATGAAGAGTTTTAATTAATATGTGTATGAAATGTAAAACGGCTGTAACAAACAATACCAATTTTTTCTTCAAATCAAAAATAACGCTTGATTACAAAAATAGATAATTATATCTAATTGAATTACAAAATAGCTTACTACTGTATAATATATTTTTTTTCTTTTATATCTAACTAACGATACAATCACTAAGATGCTTTCATGATGTAAAGAGTTTTTGTGATAGTTCAAATAATCGGCGCAAGCAATGGCATCAGAAGGTCGGATGACAACGAATGTCATTCAAATAAACCAGTAAAATATTGAATTACAATCAATACCTACATAGCGGAAGTCAATAAAATACTTATTATACTCAACCGCATTATTATCAAAGCGGATGGAAAGAATATAGAAATATCATTATATTAAAATTAATTTTATATCAAATATATAAAACGAGTTGCTATAACATCGTTATTTATACAAGTTTCTTTATCCTTTTTTGAGATAAACTTTTGAGATAGAGCACGTTAGATGATAAACGCACAAAATTTTTCACTTTTTTTAATTCTGTAACTTTTTACCACTTTAAAAAATATAAGATGTTATGACCTTTAAAATAAGGTGAATTTCGTGTACGTGGATACAATAAAATTATAAAATTACGTAGAACTTTTGTGTTATAATTATATGCAATCGGGTCTTGTTCGTGCATTTTTTAAAACAATTAATTTACCTCGACTTTTCGGCTACGTTACAGCAGCCGTGGTCACGAGGAGACTGGAGAACTGGCGGGTGTCGTCTTCTGATTTTAGTTGAGGGTAATCCGGTAATAATGTTTTTAACTGATTTTCAGATGTACCCTCCACTTGAACCAATTTTGTCCGTTACCCCCTTAACATAGTCTAAAAATGCCCGTTGCCTGGGAACCTTAGGTAGTCTTTCCTTACACCTTCGGATAGGGTATGACCTCCTTGCGCTGTATCCATTTTTCCTTAGCACGTCCTGTACATGGGACAACTCATCTGCTAAGAAGTCAGTATTACATAATGCGTTAGCCCTGTTAATAAGAGTTGTCTCCACAGAACGTAGGTGTTGAGGATGATGATGAGATGAAGCAAACAATTTCAACCGGGAAAGTGGATATAAACTCTCACCAACGTGGAATCCGGTTATAAAAATGTATAAGTGTCGCGATCGCAAACAACCACGATCAATATTCTCGGATACCGTAAGTGCAGTGTGTCGCCACCTTTACGTATAATAAAATCAAGTGGAGGGTACATCTGAAAATCAGTTAAAAACATTAGTACCGGATTACCCTCAACTAAAATCAGAAGACGCCACCCGCCAGTTCTCCAGTCTCCTCGTGACCACGGCTGCTGTAACGTAGCCGAAACGTCGAGGTAAATTAATTGTTTTAAAAAATGCACGAACAAGACCCGATTGCATATAATTATAATGTATACAAATCGTGTGAGTTTAAGAACTTTTGTGTTGTTTTTTACCAATACTTATGAACTTTATCATTTTTAATCGACTTCGACAAAGGAAAAAAAAACAGTTCCACAATGTTTCGTAATATTTTTGGGCCGACTATAATTTTTTTTTATGTATGTATAATCTCGAGCGGATCTTGTGTCGAATTTCATGACAATAAGATCAGTAGATTCTTAATTTCGCAACGCTTCTATTGTCACTATTTTTTAAATTAGATATAACCGACTTCAAAAATTCGACAAACAATTTATATTACAAAGTTATAAAGTCGGCTAAAAATCAAGAAAATTCATTTGAAGTTCAGTAGTTAAAGGCATGAAATCATCAAAGTCAAGTCATTAAATACGATCAACTTTTTTGAATTGTTATTCACCTTCGCACCCATTAATTTATTGTATTATATATCGATTTTAACTCGACGGAAAATAAGGTACCTGTCATTTCTATTTCAGCTATTTCTATACTTGAAATTAACATAATTACCGTAATTGTAATAATTGTTTCCTTTCTTCACAACATAATTCGTCAACGTTACAATTTTGAATAGTTTACGTTGTTTTATCTGTAGTAGGCAGGTCTTACCAACATACGGGTAATGTCTATTGCATGACGCAAAAGTCTGCTTCTTGTTTACTGAAATCAATGTTAAGGTCCTCTTGTACCTCCGCTTACGTTCAAATACAATTACACAAATAAATACGCATCAAGAGTAAAAACGCACTCGTTTGATTTCATACATTTTTAAATACAGAAAAGAAGACAACTTGAAACACCTATTTTTGTATATATTTCTATATAATTGAATTAAAATTATATAAATCGTAAAATCGATCCAAAAAACCTATGTAAAAGTTTTGTTCTATCGAGCCAATTATTTAAATATCTGTTGTAGCAAAAATTCGATCATATGTTTAACCATAATATTCATAAAATAATTTTCATTTGGCAAATATATTAGCATAGCCTTCGAAAAAGTAATAGTTTCGTACAAACTCGCCTTAAATTGTTGTTTGTTACAGTACAACTCATATCACTGTAACAAACAACAAATCTGCCATATTTGAAAGGATGAGTGTCATAAAAATGAAAATGTTTAATATTCATTCAGATATCTAATGTATATATGGATACATGTCCTCGAAATAGGACAAGAGCAATGCTAAGAAGGGAAATGAAAAGGAGTTGTTCACTATTTTTGTGATAATTATTCAAGATATCTTAATTTGCTTCTTAAAGGACGAAGTAGCTCAAGATAATAAATTTCAAATCACCAAGGCGACAACTGGCGCAAGAGAAAATTTATTCTAAACTTTTTGAACTTGATAGGTAGCTTGGTATAATGATGCAACATAAAATAATTTAAAGCTATTTTTTTTTTTGAAACTATATCCTTTATTATACGAATATTATATGGAATCAATAATTATAACTACTGTTACAACAATTTGACAACAACAATAAAGAAAATATCTATTACATTACCGGGGTTTTCAGAATTTCCCCCTGTATTTTAAAGTAAATAATAGTATTAATTATGATTCATACAACTCACCTAAAAAATATGGAGGTTTAAAGATGATAAAATTACAAAAACAGGACTGTGATATGAACTCCTATGTAGGTTATAAGTTTTACAGAAACTGTAATAAAAAATCCAATAAGAGAAAACTACATTATATTTAATAATTTTATCATTTTTCTTGATAGAAATACCTAAATCACTTTTTTCTGTAGTTATAATTGATTCATAGAGGGAAATTAATAAATTGTTAGGGCGTGTGTTAGGGTATTTTCAGGTCCGGCGGTCCGATTTTCTCCGGTCCGGAATGACATGAAAAACCCGGATGAGTTTTTCAGGTCATTCCTATTTATCTATCTAATATAATAAATTTTATTCCCACTTTATGTAACTTTTTGTAAGTAAACATTCATCACAAAAATAAAACAAGAACTTTTTTCCACCGCTTAAAACCTGGCTCCATCCAATATACTTGGACGTGGAGCACACCACTGGATACACTAAAGAAATATAGTTTTATTGAATACTTTTTAACATATTTCTTAAATTATTTCAAACAACATGTTGTTCATGCATTACAAGAAAAATCATAAGAAAATCAACTTAGCGACAAGATTATATTCGGGGAAGTAATATTATTAGTATGTGTCAATTCTTATAATTAATTAACGATATGTTCATGGTTGTTACCAAGATATAAATATTCTTTGTTCATAGTAACTGGTTAGTAACTATTAGTCAATAATCTACACGAGCCGTTTTGTGAGGTAAAAAGTGACCTGCATATTTATTTACTCTACCTACCAAGCACAACTAAAATCTTAATTTTATAATTAGGTACTAAGCGGTATCATGTTTTTGATATTTTAACTTTAGCAATTAAAAATTGACCCTATATAATAATAATAAAAAAATGTAAATAAAATAAAACTAAAAACCCGCCTGCGTCAAAAACAACTAATTAAGTTGTTAAAAGGCTGTAACAAGATAAAAATTTTATGCAACTGCATACATAACATGCTGTCGGAGGCATGCACAAAGAGAGAACGATTTGACTTATTATTCAATATCTTGCTTGTTTTATTTTTGTTTTAATTTAATGATAATTTTATTTGTCATTTTAATTTAAAAAAAAAAGCTACCAGATTGGTCCAGAAAGTGAAAGAACAAAGCCCATATTTTTAAACTTTATCATTGTACTATTTTAATTAGTGTTACGGCAATTACAATCATACTTTTGAAATCCTTTTAATAATTGAACTCTTTAATTTTATACCAATATTGAAATATTTAAATAAATAAAAAAATATTAAGTATAGCACAGCCTAAATTATTATACCATATATTAAATATAGCATATCTAATACGTTCAACAGTTCTGAAGACATATATACATACAAGATATGGGCGAAAACCATAACCCTTCCTTTGCAGTCGGGTAAAGTTAAGAGAGATACAGCTATGCGTGGGAAGTGGTCCCGTTGGGGACCGTACGTCGTTCCCCCGCAATGAGAGACATCGCTGAATTTTAGTGGGTAAGCCTCTACTTTTTGACCAGCCCCCACTCTGGGGGTTGGGCCGCAGGGGAGAGCCCCACATAACCCGTAAAGCTCGCGAAGAGTGAAGAGGGTATGCGTAACGCATTTCTCAGCGTAAAAAAGAAGAGAGATACCGCTATTGCGTTTAGGGCAGCTTTGTAGCCAAGTGAATTTTGTAGCACATTAACAATAATCGTAATAGTTTGAGAGTAATTCATTTTACGTTTTTGCCGAATGATTCGCCATCCTTTGTTCCTATCTGATTTATTTCCGTGCGCAATAAGATATACAGGGGACAGTTATCTGACTTTACTCCCTATCATGACCATCTTAAAAGTTAATAAACTCTATAATAGAGCTACTTGGGACTCCGAAATGCTCTTTCCCTAATTACCGCCTAAACTCAATTATATAGCGGAACACATAAAAAATGCACGAAACATCAAAGACTAAGATACTAGATAAAAATTCTTCCAAACCAAAGATTTTTAATCGACTACAATCCAGAATATAATTACCAAAAAAATTTTTTTTAATTATGCATAAGCACTTCCTTCATAGTCCTTATCGCTAGTGAATATTTTGATAAACTTCTTCCTTCAATAATTATCTTGTTATAATAAAATACCTTATGAAAATTACGAGTATACTCATTTTTAGCGATATCATTTCAACAGGTGACGACATGTCGTGTGATAGGAATATGTTACCAATGCCTACAAAGGATGTGCCATATAAGGGTAAGCGGTCATTTTCCTAAAGGAAGGTTAGCAAACAAGCACGTATGCGGTCCGTCTCTTGGTGAATCACTTCCTTCGACGACACTTAACTGCTCTAAATTATAATTTCGTCGTGTTTAGTTGACAAATATATCACATTAACGCACTCATCTATGAAACCTTCATTATGATCTGACAGAGGATATGGATATATGTAGGTAAGTTGTAGTTTTTTATCTATATTATTATATAGTTATATTAAATATTTGATATCTCCAATTAAGTAGCTAGCTCGTATTATGGAAATCTAAACAACGGATGTTACACAAGATATATAATCCAGAATATAGAAAAGTTCATTTTCTATATTAACTCAACCTCATAGAACCTCAGAGAGGGCGAAGCCTTAAAATTGGCATGCGCGCCACTCGGCTGATAATGTCGTCTTATCTAGCTATATTATTATTTACTTACTATTACATACTTTCTTCGGAATATCCTCGGCTGCAAAGACACTCACATATTTACCAATTTTCGTTATAAATAGAAAAATGGAAAGTTTAGAGGTAACGTTGCGTTTTTCCATCGAGAAAATTCATCTAAAAATTCGTATTTTACCTGCAATAGCCCTTGGAAAAAGACTATTTTTAGACACTATAGCTTATTTGGGTGTTATTTCTTTTTATAAAACAAAGAAGGAAGTGGTTTAAGAGACTTCTGCAAGAAGAAAATTTGTTGTATTGCTTTGGAAGACACTAATACTATTGGTTTGCATCCGCGTCTGTATTTTTATAAACTGTTAAAATGACTGAAATAATTTGAAATAACTCGGTGGCGTAGTGGATAAGCGCCGCGGCCAGCGATCGTTGTCGTTAAGCAACTTTCGCAAGGGTCGGTCACGGGATTGGTGACCAAAAAATTATTATCTCGAGCTACTCCGTGCTTCGGAAGGCACGTTAAGCCTTTGGTCCCGGCTGCATTTGCAGTCGTTAATACCCTCCAATCCGCATTGGGCCAGCGTGGAGGGTCATGGCCCATCCTCCTTAACCATCCATAAGGAAGGCCTGAGCCCCTGCAGTGGGGACGTAAAATGGTGATGATGATGATGAATTCGAAAGTCCATATCAATATAGACTTTACATATAAATCATAAAATAAAATACTGAGACATTATAGGTATATTTTTTTTATGATTATAAAACAACTCTAACCTAGTTTTTCTCACCAAACATAGCTACATCATACAAAGTTATGATTTTTGGAAATTTCTCACTCATATTTAGTGCGATCTATTTACCCCATGGTGTAAGAATTTCAATTCTGAATATAAAATCATATGGTGTCTAAATATATAAGTACTGTTAACACTGGAAAATCTGCAAGTGTCACTTAATCAATATATTCTAGTCACATCATCCATGAAGGTTTAATTCCCATTCAGTTATACAAACGATGTTATAATTTCTTAACTCTAATCTAAACCTTATGATGATGTTCCTTATCGGTGATCATAATCTTTAATAAAGGTACACAATCTGTAATATTCTAACATTTACTATACATTTCATTTTCACTACACTTAGATTTCGAATCATCTTTTACAGAGTCCACAGACTCGTTATGGTTCCCGGAGTCTTTCTTCACTCTTAAATCTGGATACTTAGCCCATTCTAAAGACTTAGAGCGAGAATGTTTAGGCGCCATATAATCGGAAAACATTTCTTGAAGATATTTCTTTCTATAAATAGTGTAGATCCAGTCATCGGAATTTGAACGCCTCTTTTCGTTGCCATTAAAGTTTTTGATGTGTTGAAAGACCATAGGCTTTGAAATGAAACTACCGGACATCTGACCCAAGTGTCGCCTCCTGTACCTACTCTCTGTGTTTCCACTCTGGACTTGCTCGCGTCGTGACAGCCAATAGTAATGAGCGATGGGATCTCTAGGACCCCAATGGCGTGAGGGTTTAAATGATGACTTCAGCTTCTGTAATATAAATATGAAATGAAAATAATAGATAAGTCTACATCGGGAGAAGCTTTGAAATAAACCAAAGGCTTCATTCCTATATTCAAAACAAAAACCTATAACAAATCTATCCGAATATTACGCTCAGGGATTTACTTATGCATTCTTGCTAAATCTTAATTTTAATTTTATCATTAATGTTATAAAGAATGGAGCTTATTATTTTTGTTATATGCATATTCAATTACATTCTGTAATATGTACATAGGCAGATATATTCTTATAGCCGGAGAGCTCGTGAGAAAAATATGCAAATAATGGCCGAAATTTTAATATGTGCAAGTACTCAGTACGAACCTGGCGGCAGCGAGCGAATCTTTATGATATTACTTAATGTGTATGTTCCACTAAACGAAAAGTGGGTTATTTTTGTTATTAATAATTATTTACTTCTTTACAACCATTAGGAAATTCTTTTTCGAATCTGATATTATGATGAAAATATAATAGTTTATTCCGATATGCACATTTTATTTTCGTTAAGGAAAAAATACCTGATTTCCTCGAAGGTGATGTATTATACTATTCAGTATTATGACACAAAAAAGTGGCAACTGTTCAAAACTCATATACATTTTTGTCACTGGTTTTTGTTCTATTATGAACGGAACGCGGTACCTAACAGAATTATGTCACAGAGATATGCCAGATGGTTCCCGAGATTCCATACAGGAAGACAAAATTTACATTGACCTGCATTTATATAACAAGTTGCGCTTAAGTGCGAGTCTGACTCGCACACGCAGGGTTCCTTACAGGAAACAAGCAAAATAATCATTTTTTGTTGTATGGGAGCCCCTTTAAATAATAATTATATTCTGGTTTTTAGTAATGGTACAGAAGCGGCAACAGAATTACATCATCTGCGAAAATTTCAACTTTCATGGTTCATGACATATGGCCTGGTGACAGACAGTCTTAGTATAGGAAGGATTCCCCTTTTATCTTTTGGGCACGGAACCCTAAAAATTTGGCACGAACATACGATGAAATGGTAAGAGTCCAATTTGAAGAGCAATAATTAATTCCGGTAAGCAATATAACTAAAATAACCGGACAAAAGGAAATCGGACTCGCCCACCGAGATTTCCTTACAATATAGTCAAGTTTACGATACAGTAACATTACTGTGTGTTACATTATGGAGTTTCTTACGGTCATTTTGCCCACAGCTAATACAAGTTGCGAATGTGCGGTGGGAAAAATTCAAAAGATCTTTTGATTTTTACGAATATTAAATATTGAGTCGAATTTCACTTTAAATTATACGTTGTAAGAAAAAGATATGCATAACATAAAAAAATATTCCACGCGCGTTTTATGTTGAAAAACATTACAGGAAGTAAGGTATATTGAACACTGGTTCATGTTATAGTTAAACTAAACAAGGTTTTGTCCTTGGCGACAAATGTTTGAGGAAAATATTCAATTCGCATTGCCTAAGAAAACCACATAGGAAGCGTAGCATATCAGCATTAAATAATAAACATAGTCAAGGAGGTAATATATTATATGCAACAAGCATCGCCATCACTCATCAACATGTTTATTACAAACCAACCGGATTTAGAAAATATTGTAATAGGTAGTTTATACGTAACAATGTCAATTACAATATATACCGATCAAAAATATGAGTAGATTGATAAATTTCATCTACCTAATGCAAGCTTATTATTAAACTAAGAACTAATAATAACATAGTACCTATTAATATTATAAAATTTTAATATATACATACTTATCATTGTTTCATTAAAAAGAAATACCCTTCTTGTTTAGCTGAAGCTGCCAGCGATCGATAAATAATAACTCGTAACGAGTTCTAAGAATGAAAATCTCTAACTATAATAACACATTACAAACAAATACTAATAAGCTAACAAATAAAGACATTTCTATGAAAAATAAACAGTGCTAAAGTTACAAATATAATATAATTTCTAGTTTTTAGTGCTATAAAGAGAATAATTTTATAGTACTAGAATGACCCGGTGTACTAGATATTACTGGATGATTAATTTTTATATATAAATGTGTCAGATTCAATTAAATACGGTCGCAAAAAAATATAAATATATAAACACAGAAATATATTTTTAATTAAAAGTAATCTTACCGCTATAATATCGTATTGGTCCTGTCTGGCGACGGCAATCACCGCGTACACTACGAGTAACAAAACCGCGAGCACACTAGTTGCTGTCAAAACAGCGGGTGGCCACGGAGGCAGCTGCCAGTTTCCACCGCTCACCACCACAGCCCACCACACAAGAAATGGCAGCAGCACGCACGGCGTCAACCACCAGCCCCACACCCAAAACTTCGATAAAGGCTCCCCGGTTAGAAATTCCATATCTTCCATTAGAGCTTTAGAACCTGCACAATAAATACATTGAAGGATAAGCGTCGGTAAGAATAAGGAAGTTAAGTCAGAATTTGACGTCATCTAACTGAAATTCCGTCGCTTACTAACGCATACTTCCGTGAGACCGCGTCAGACGCTTAACGGATCTTCCGTCAGATTTGCATAGTAATTGTTGCAAATATACATTTGCAAATAGATATTACAAAATGATAAAACATTTAAGTATTGTTAAATGGCTAATAAATTAAGAGAAAATATTATATTTCTGTGTGGAACACTCAAAATTGTATATTAGCGTTTAATAAAAAAGTTTCTGTATTTGCTAAAAATCCATTCCTACCGTTCTCCCTGATGAATTGATAAAAAAGAATTAAATAAGAAGGAATGAAACAGAAATGAATGAATAACCTTTATATTAATTACTATAAGTTCTCATTAAAATACTTACCATAAATGAAGATAAAGGCAAGTACTTCGAGTACAGTGGCAGAGCAGACAAGCATTGGTACAGCCAAGGCTTCTAATATAGAGAGCGCGTGCCAGCGTCCCGCAAGGACTGCCATAGAAGCTCCAGCACATACCAGAGCACTACCAGCGCAGGCAGCACGCCAACGAACGCCGCCCACTCGTCGGATCCGGTCATACATCGGATATAAACATGTCAACTAGTAAAAGTGCATATACAATTATCGATATCTGCCTTAATATTTGAACTCTTTGAATTTGAATAATATAATTTGGATTTGATCGATATTAAATTTTAATCGTTTAAAAAAGATATTCTTGAAATCAATAATTACTCCTATTCCCAGTAATTCCCATTCAAATTTTACCAGTCAAATCTTCCCAAGGGCCCCGACTTTGAGTCGTTCTGTTCTGCATTAGAATTTATAATTTGTTTTATGTGTGTATCGATTATAAAACTATTTCAATTGTGTAGTTATTTAGTATTAATAAACAGAATTCTAAACTACTGGGCTTGTTTCTTTCTTTTTAGTTTTTATTTAAGTTAATTTGTTCATTTATTTTTTTAAATAAGTTTTTACGCAGTCGGTTTTTTGTTTTACTTTAAATTATTCATTTTTATTTTAGACTTTTTAGTTACGATTCGTTAACTTCGTTATAAGATGGTAAATTTCGCAATCTAGTTATTTAATTGAGGGAGATAATATCGTTTGTTAAACAACTTTAAATCGTTATATATCCTAAACTTTTGTTTAAAATGAAAAATGTAAAAAGGAACCTAATTTCAAAACCTGTTTTTAAAATACCTATTCAACGACACCCCAATTGACATAGTTCATCGATTTTTTATTTTATTTTGACAATATGGCGTCTGGTTGTCGGTGTGGTGAATTTTGTTGACTGTCATGTGACACTCGCAAGGTTAAGACGAATCGATTGACGTAAGAATCATCAAAATCGGCCTACGCATTTGGTCTCTAGAACGCCACATATAAACACATACATACATAGACTCATAAATAAACACATAACTCTCCCTTGCGTCACGCAGTCGGGTAAAGAGTATCGTAATAGGTACATCTATATCGTGGGTACGTAAAGTAAATTAGTACTACTATATAGTCGGGTGAGTAATCCAAACTTATGTATCTATGCAATACCTACATAAGTTTGTACATTTCACCTTTAACAAATCACAAGGTAAAGCGGACTGGCTCAATATTCAATATCTATTTCTAAGCGTGTCCTTGTTATTTAGCTTTGAAAGTGTCTAGAGCCCAAGGGGGCAGTCAGAAGGGGTACAAAGGGGAACGAGTATGGGGGTTAGTCTCCGCTTTTCACAGAAATTGTTAATTCCGAATTAATTTTATGTAACAATTACTTACTTATAATTCAGAAAGTAAATACTCAATGTATGTAACTTCAAACTTTAATGATATATATATATCGTATATATATATAGGTATATATTCACGCCGTATCCCTGGCGGAGTGGGTAACAACATAAAATATCAAAGTTAATAATCAGAATCACATACCATTGTAATGATCCCTGAGAAGATCAGTGTGGCAAATGCGATAAGTGGCCACACGATGCTAAGACCATTCTTAGCGGCAACAATATAAATTTGTGCTAGTACTGCCACTGAACCGGTCTCCATGTCTCCACTGCCGCCGATACTGAACCAGAATATTAAACTCATCCAATTCACCACGATGTTTATAGCGATTAATAGTACAGCTGTCCTGAACGCATAATATAAATTATGAAGACACTAAAAAAATAATGGCAAATTTCTTCTTTGATGTAAGTATAAAAACTTACATCAAAGAAGTACCATTATTTTTTTATCGATCTACAAGGATCTTAATTTGACCGATACCTAACGTATGTAAATGTACAAAAAATCGGCTCATTATTATATTAAAAGGGTAAATTAGCTGGAGTAAAAAAAACACCTTCGTTAACCAATGAAACTAAGCGGAACGAAGATCGGCAAGTTTAATATTATGTGTTCCGTTAGACGTCTGAAGTCCATTATGAGAGAGTACAAAATTCTGTGTTTTACAGGTGGCAGACCAGAAACACAGAATTTTCTACTTTAATTTCGAAGATTCTTAAGTTTGTTTTGGGACATTAATAAAATTCTCTAACCGTTGAAAAAAACGACGCAACAATGACAAATATGGCGGCTTAATTTTGGCAAGAGATAATTTTTCTTAAGGGTAGCGGGCGCTGCGGACGTACAGCGGGAATGAAACTAGAGATAGCGACATTAAAGGAAATAAGAAAAAAGAAATAAAACGATGTACTCTCTCATAATGGACTTCGGACGTCATGAGGAAACATAATACAAATTTTAGTGTAAGGTATTTTTTTTTTTGTATTATGTATAACAAAATATATTATTAATGTTATATAACTTCATGGCTTAAACATCTAATTTACTATTAAATTAATAGTCACATCGTGTAAACTCGTGGTAGGAATACATATGTTAGATATTTTATTATCGAATATAAGAGAAGAAACTTAGAGGAAATCTACTTAATTAAGAAATGAGATGGAACCAAAGGTTAATTGGCAAATAATGATTAACGAAACAGGATGTTATAGATCAATGGATTCAGTACTCGGAAAGATAAACAGCGGATTTCTTAATAAATTAGATGGAAATAATTATATTAGTTAAAAGAAAGCAGTTCTATGATATCGACAGGAAATGACACCTAGGTAACTTGAAGGCTTAAGGATGTCAGTGGGCGAGCCTTCCCGATAACTTTGAGGGAAAATTCTGTAGAATTAAATATATCATGCTCAGGACAGGAAATGATATCTGTAAAGTGATGAGGAATCTTTGAGTTACATTTGAAAAAGGATCAGTACGTACATTCTGATGTACCTAAAGGAAAGGAAATGGAAGTGTTGTTTAATATAATGTGGAGAGTGAAAGAAGTAAGGTGTACATTTAAAGACCGTTGTTTCTTACCATCTGATATCATTATTAGAATAGATAGAGTCACCAGCTGATATGAGATAACCGCCAGCCACTTGTGAGGTCAAAAGTGCTTGTGTTATCGCCTCTAACCAAATGTTTGGTTCTAGAAAATTACTCCAATCATCCTCCTTTATCATCCATTGTATTCTACTATCCGCAGCCATGCCCGACACTGTCATTATACTCAGGATTATAACTAGTGGTCCTAGTACGAAAAATACTCGTTTCATTAACTTCACAGGACTGTAAAGACTAAAAACATGTATCATATTAAAAGTGATAAATAAATTAAGTAAAATATTAATTTCATAATAGAGTATTTTAACTTACATGAAAGGTAAACTAATCCATGTGAATAATATAATTAAACATACAGCTATAAAATATTCTGGCTCTGATTTCACGTGAGACATAAAAGGAAGACTGAAAAAAAGATAACAAATAATACGGGTAATTAGGATAAGCTCTAAAAATTATTTAATGGGTCAGTTTAATTTATTTTATTTACTTACTTAAAACAATTGGATGAATTGAACGTATCGGATTTTGAATATGCATCCTAAAATAAAATGTTGACTAATTTTAGTACAAACATTAAAAAACAATCTGAATGATAGACCAAATATATAGATGTATATTTTTCTTTATTTATATATACTTAGTCTCGACTTACCAGTGTTTGAACAACACCTGTGCATTCAATAAAAGGAGTAGAATTTGTAATTGTATAAAGAAAATAAGCTGCAGTGAGCGCCAAATAGATCGCTGTGTAAATAGAGCCAAAAAATGAGACTAATAATCTTAGATAGCCGACACCTAAAACAAAAATCCATTTATTTTAAATAGCATAATTACATTGACTGCATATGTGCAGTAACTTCTGTGTTTTACAAGTAACATCAGTTACAAGTAACATCAGTGTTACCCATAGATTATACATAATACTGGTGTTACCTTTGAATATAGGCACGGCACGCCACAATCCTACAGTATCCTGTTGACTCAGTTGTCCCAGTGCAAGTTGTAACAAGGCCAGTGGCAGAGCCACCACCAACAGCGCGACTGACAGTATCAGACCGTATTGGACACCACCAAAGCGCGCTGCTTCGCGTGGAACTCTCCATGTGCTATTGTAACTCAACGTTATAGCAAAAGTGCACAAGTGTGCCCGGATCAGCGGCCAGTTCAGGCATTCCTTGATGTAAATAAACGGAATGATATATCATAAAATATATTATTAATACTATAATTTAAGGATGCCTTCCAAATATTTTAAATAAAATCCTACCTTTATAAACAAGAACGTTTTCACTACAAACAAAAAAAACTAGATAGACAAATTCTCTAGCGCATTTGAGAAATCTTGTCACATCAAAGTTCTTGGATCTCCAGCATATATGATGGGAAAAGTAATAGCGTTGATAGATAGAAAAAAAAAACAAAAAATGTTTCTCTTGTTGTAAGACACGCCCAAATTTGCTAAGCAAAGCTTTATAGTGCAAAGCTATTATTAGGGGTAGAATTACCGTCCATAGCGGGATGACACCCAAGTGCCACTCTCAACCGAGAATATGCCAAGTGTATTAGTGAAAATAGTATTTTTTTTTATATGACATTTAAAAATATCCAGGCTTTGCCTGTGTGGATTGCAAAATTTTCAAATGCAATTTAACACTATTAGCAAAACCATTTGTTAGCAAACCTCTGCATCATAATAACTATTAATTGTTCTTCCGCGATTTTACCGAGTATAGGTATCACCCACCCGCGAAATAAGTATCTTCATGTAGGTGATAAAATTTTTATACATGGATCTGTAATTCTGATGATTACCCTCTACAAAAAAAAACAAATAAACAAAATTGAAAACTTTACCTCTTTGTACGAGTAATATTGGTTTTTTGATAAATTTTTATATTTCCGTTCAAAACTGATGGAATTCCAAATAAATGTGAATCCCGCTTTAATTATTATTAGGGATAAAATTTTCTCAAACAGTGAAACAAGTAACTCAGTTTTATTAATTCCCTAAATGTAAAGTTTTATATCCTCAATGAAAAATGCCACTTTGTCCCTACAAAGTGGGTTTTTAAGCATTTTCCATTAAGAATATTCTTAAATATAGCATTGTGAATTAAATATAATAAATAAAGGTTCTCGTTTTTAACTTTAAAACTGAAGAATGTGACCATACAAATTTTTCTACCTCTATTTTATCCCCTTTAAGAGTTGAGTTTCCTAAAACGCTGTAACAGGTATTAGCATATTTTTACTCGTAGCCTATTAATAAAATTTTATAGTTTTGTAGATATATGTGTAATAGATTTTCTTCATTATGACGCATGTTGCAAAAAAAAAACAAGAAAAATCTGTAGCGGTAAAGCTCTTATTTACAGTTGCGAAAACTAAAAGTTTACAAATAGGTGCCTAATCAGAAGAAAAGAATAAAAATCATTTGTCACCGCCAAATTCCTCTATCTAGGCAAAGAAAGGAATTCTAATATCCCTTTGGAGTGCGAGACCAAAGCCAAAGTATAAATGTAAAAAAGTCCTTACCTTATTTGATATTAAATTAAGCATTTCCAAATACAAAAATAAATATTCAACAAATTTTCACATGATACACATAAACCAGCCAACCAAGATGCTGTAACGACTGTCTCAGCATCGAAGACAGTGTTGCAAACGTTCCTGATAACGGCTGAGATAAACGCTATATCAGAGCATTGTGATCAAATCGATCTCTGTGCAAGTTATCGAGATTAGTAGTTGAATTACAAATGACGTCAACTGGAATATAGAATAAATGTAATAAACGTAAACTACAAATGTTTTGGAACGTCCACTATGTGACTGTTAGTTTGACGGTTAGTTTTGCTTTTTTAAAGCTAATGAATGTGGATGTAAGTTAAAATCTACTGTGTTGGTGATAGCAGCGGTTACTCCTGTAACATCTGAATTGGTTCATCGTTAAAATGCAATGTTAGTCAAAAGATCCAACCTATTTTATTGGGCCCGGAATAAGAAATCGAAATAGAGAGGGAAAAAGGAGGGACGCGCGGTAACAACGGTTTAATTTATTTATTACTCGCCAACTATGATTTTAAAAGCGCTTCTTGATTCACATATTTTTTCAATGTTTTCACCTATAAGGACTGTTAATTACAGCAACTTTATCTGATTTTAATTACAGATGATTACAGATTATTTCCTTGTCCAAACTATTTAAGCGCCCTATTAAGTCAAAGAATGGTATAAGCTCATGGATGGGTCAATATAAATTGCTATTATGTCTAAGCTTATTGCTGTTACAATAAAGATGTCCAACTCTTAGTACTTTTATTATATACAAATATTTGAAACTAAGGGTTAAAGATAATGTCTAAAGATATTCTTTTAATAATTAACAAATGCATTGGCACTCTATTGAGTTTAGCTGAATAAAAATCTTTGATGTTTTTCCACAAGTTTTGATATGATTATTAACCATATCATATCTTGCTAATATATTATTTAAAACACATCCCAAGTGTCCTATCGCGCTCTCTTAATTGATAACTATAACTGCATTGAACGTTTTCTTCTTATCATATTGCCAGATTGAACTTATCTATAAGTAAATATAAGGTATGGCGATAGCTCTCCTCGAACATAACTGACTAAAAATAATCTATAAAGCTTCCAATTTATCCAGGTCAATGGGATACACGCCTTGGAATGTGAATTATAAATGTCTGGGACCGTACAGCGAGATCTAAAAATATATATACACTTTTTAATAGTTACTCTTATTGCAAAGTCAATAAGGGTCATTGTCAAAATTGTATAGATACATATGTATTTTTAAACTTTACGATAGAGCTAATATATTTGGAAAAAAATATATACAGCTACTGAGATTTTAAGTCGAGAGAGCTTAGCTAACTATTAGATGAATCTTGCATTCACAATGCTATACTGAAAAATGTTCTTAGTAAAAAATACTTAAAAAATCTATATTAACCCTGAGATGGGTGTCGAACTCATGAAATCATTTTTTGATCAATGTTCAGGCGATCTACCCAAACATGAGAAGGAAATATTTTTACAATTATTTAAAATTTCAATAAAGATTATTTGTAATTTCTTACATAAAAAAAAAACTACACTTCTCGCTTCAAATTGCTTTATTGTAAAATATCTTAACAACTAGTTCTTAATTAATGATTTTATATTATGAATAGATTTCTAAAGTGCAATAAAATGGTAACATGTTTCAATATTAATTGTTTTTTCATAATAATGAACGTTAACTAACGGTCATTTTATTGAAATTAAAGGAGGAAGAGATGATGATTTTATATAGAATCTGTAATAGGTACTATCTAAATCAAAAATAATTAGAACACATATTTACACAAGGAAACAAAAACTTTTATTAAACAAGAAATTCATTTTTAACTGAATTAAATAGCAATACTTAGAAATTTAAGAAAGAATATGACATCGTTCTCCCACACCCTTCTAACACTAAACATTATTAATATATAATTTCTATCTACCAAATATTCATACATATAACATGAATGATACCAACTACTATAATTTTACTGTTAAACACTGATTCCATTAATTCTGGTCTACATTAAACATATAACAGTAATCTGGTTTATTATGCAATTTATGTATTTAAAACGGCAACACTAAAAGTTTTGATTACATCTTAAGACAGTTCATCAATGTATAAATTAACTATTATATTTATTTGTATCTACTTGTGATTGAACAATGAAATTGCAAACAGTGCTCGAAAACTCAAAAGTATAGATTTAATAAGTACAATCTAAAAGTACGTCATATTATTAATAAAATGTCAGATTTATGAAATCGATTCTCAACGTTATTAAAGTTCAAAATTGAATGCACACTTTATGATCTTCTAAATTTATCTGACGTGGTACTGTGTGTAGATGTCATAATGTACATAAGATTATTTTGTCGCATTATAAAGGACAGCTTTTTTGGATACTTATCGTTCTATTTAAACTACAGACCACCTACTAAAACTATTAAAAAATATATGATTGCAATCTGTTTTATTTATTGCACGATAATAATTGGTCTAAATGAAAAAAAAAAAAGAATTCAATGAATACCCTGCCCAAATACAAATTTTAACATAAATAATGAACAAGAAAATGAAAATGTTTGTGCAGTCGGCCAAAAAACTGGTCTACCCTACGGTTGAGATTCAGTATCAAGAAATAACAAAGCTGATTTCACGTGAGAAAACTGTTTCAGATAAGCCAACTTAGCGATACTTAGCGCTTAGCACGTCAAAACTGGTAGATCACTTTCTTTGCTATTCATCGGATCACTACAATATTTTAAATTCTTGCAAACGTTTGACACTAGGATCGGTGCACATCTGACAAAATATCCAACTAGCGTCTCACCAAACTATGCGTGAGAATGTGACGAATCATCCGTCGAGTAAAACTTTTTGTCTATGATCAAATGTACGAGTACATGGTTAAATGTTATTTATGATATATTTATTTGTCAGTTGTGACGTTCTGCGACCGATGACAATTTCGTCCGATGTTTACCGACCCTTCACGTTTATTAGAGTAAACGGATTTGTATGTACAATCAACATCACATCAATTTATAAAAAACATTTCAATTTTCAACTTGTCTTTAGATTGATGGAGATAAAATCTATTGTGAACATATTATGGAAGCCTGACGTGCCTGTGTATACTTTAATTCAAGTGAAAAATATTTGAAAACAACAAACACGTAGAACATGCAAACGAGGGTACACAATTTCTTAAGCATATTGAATTTCGACTATTCACCGGACTGAAACAATTCGTATTTTATTTACATAAATGGTATTGAAATTTGCAACCCACTGATTGCTTATACTGAAGTAAAATAAACACAAGCGCACATTCCATATTTAAAAAAAAATGTACTTATATTGGTATATACCTTATGTTATGACAAGCTAGAGGGACGGCCAGGGTTTAGTTGAATATAATTAAAAAAGGAACAAATACGAATAAACATAGCACAGCAATAATTATTTCACTGCAATCATTCATTTTGCGTTTGCGCCGAGTTGAGAGTGGTCGTGTCATTTAGTTGACAAGTGCGTTATAATTGTGGAATATTGATTACACGTTTTTAGTGCGTATACCGACTACATCGGTTCATCGAACACTGCGAGTGGAATACTAGTTGATTTACCTACACTGATTATAAGAGAATAATATTAATTCACTCTTCTTTTGCAATAAACGAGCGAGTGACATAAAACTGTAAATATGTGCTCTCGTACTCCGCCGAAGTGTGCATCAAATCCAGATTTACCTACATCTGCGCACGCTGAGGATTTATATATTAACATCCGTAAACGCAAACAACCCGAAGACGATAATCTACATCTACAAATGAAACTATTGGAGCAGAAAATGGACTCACAATTTCATACATTCAGTAGCAATCTCGATAATAAGATCACTGAGATAATTAATACAACTTTAAGATCAACTATTTTGACCGAGTTTTCAAAGATTAATGCTTCCTTGGATGCGTTAAATAATACCGTCATGAGTTTGCGCTCAGATAACACAAGTTTTAAAGAATCGTTAACAAGCATAAATACACGTTTGGCCGAAATGGAGAAATCTCTAAGTTTTTCAAACGAACGTCAGGAAACATTCGATAAGCAACTACAATCATTACAAAATCATATGGAGAAAAATAGTACCCTACCTGAACATATACAAATACTGGAGGTCAAATTAGCAGCAATAGAACAGCAAGCTAGAGACTGCAACATTGAAATTGTTAACCTACCTGAAAGACGTAATGAAAACCTATGCAATATTATAACTAACCTCGGAGTGATTATTAAACAACAGATACTCCCATCGGATATTATATCTGTACACAGAGTGCCGCATGCTGACCAAAAAGATTCACGGCCCAAAAATATTATTGCAAAATTATCTACTAGAATACTTCGTGACAATATAATAGCAGCATGCCGTTCTACGAAGAATATCAGTAGTGAACAATTAGGTATCTCCGGGTCGGTACAAAGAATCTTCATCAATGAACACTTAACCATACAAAATAAACGCTTATTTCGTGAGTGTCGTGAAAAGGCCAAATTACATGATTATAAATACGTATGGGTTAAACATGGTGTCATTCTGGTACGAAAATCGGATACATCCCCAGTGCAGGCCATACGATCGGAAATCGATTTGGGTAAAATTAAATAATCTTTCAAAGAGAAGGTACTTTAATAATAAGCATGTTACTTATCAGATTTGTCTATTGTGTATTAAGTGTATAAAATGGATATTGGTATATACGAACTATCATATTTTAATAAAATGGCATGATATTATATGTTTATTGTTATTTATTATCTTGGGCACACTTTCGAATATTGGAGTTTTCAAATCATATGTAAATATATTTATAAAACGTAACTCTAAATACAAATTCATAATCATTTTAATAAGTGAGAACCATAAAATTTATTTTATAAAAAGCACTTTTGCCGTAAATAATTCTATTACTTTGAATATACTTAATGATGTATCTCCAATACTGAGATATTTTCATAGTTATTTTAATTGTCACGGTAAATCTAGATACAATAAAACTAGCATGATTAACTTCGTAATGGTATTTGATGGTAACTTGTTTACTAATGCCCAGTTAAATGATTTAACAACTAGCTTGGATGATTCTTTGTATTCGTTTATTAGCATTGGTTATAGACATATTTACTCAAT